AACGGTGTCAATGAGGAAAAATTATTGCGTCCTCCCACCTAACGTAGAGATACGTTCTCCCACAGCTAAAAAATTCGGTTTTTGCTCGGTATTGCTAGCTATTATTTGGTAATAACGAGGAATATCATCATGTGAAGACCAATACCAAGTTATACCGAGCAATACCGAGTTTTTTCAAGGAAAAACTAAGTATTTTTTTGTATTGCTCGGTATTGCTCTTCACACAATGATATTCCTCGTTATTATTTGGTATTGCTCGGTATTTGCTTGGTATTTCTTATTTTATAGCGCGATTTTAGCGGTGGGATGACGTATCTCTACGTCAGGTGGGAGGACGCAATAATTTTTCGTTAATGAGAGGTCATAATGGCGGCCTACAATGAATTAATAAATATTATTTTACTAGAAAAGTTCATGACAGAGTGAACTACTTGAAACAGTACCTGCGAGATGGTCCAGTATAGTTTTAATAAAATGTTATTGAATATTATGACATTTTATTATGACATATTCATAAACATAAGAGCATCACATATGCTATTTTTCAGGATTACTAATAAAAGATTAACAATTGATAATTGTTATAATAAAATTCGTGTGTAAATTTGTCTTAATTGACCTAACTATCTCAAAAAAAAAAAAAAAAAAAAAAAAAGGCGCAAAAAAAAAAAAAGAAAAAAAAAAAAAAAGATGCGCACAAAAATATACAGTAATAGAAGTAATTTTATGAGAAACAAGCGCAATAGATACAACCCAATAATATATAAATAGAACATATGGGACATAAATACAATAGTAATTAAAGAGATAAAGGAGTGCATTTATCTTGGTAACACTGAATTTTTAAGCTCCTTTACTCATCCCTAAAATCAGACAAACCATTACTTACCATTACAAGTCATGATTATGAGACATGTTTTGATGCAATGCAATAATCACTAATGATGTAGTGGATCGCCGGAAGATGCGACCTGCAAGAAGGATTTGAGTTTTCCCAATCCAGGGAAGAAGAAGAAGAAGCTTTCCAAAGCTTTAACAAAGGGATAATATCATTCAATGGCTTCCCTATTACAAAACTTTCTATTTATAAAGCAAAAGGAGCATTCTAGAAGGAAATAACAACAAAATGGATAAAGTACTCCTAAGGACTATTCTAGCTTAAAATGCACCGCATCATTCTCCCCTAGCATAAAAAGGCTCGACTCCGTCGAGACGCATTATTGAAAAAGAGGTTGTTGCCAAAGATAGATTCCCTAGTCGAAGATTTTGTTCTCATCATTTGTTGTAGCTGCTTGTAATAAACTATCATTTCTGAATAATACAATGTTAGATAGTGATTGCCCGTTCATTCCTGTCCGAAAATCATAAAGGAACCTGAATGGATTTGAAGCGGAGACGAGAGTTCTTTGTTTGATAATTGATAAACTTGTTGCACCGTTTATGGTGAATGTCTCCAGGTTTGATCCACCATCTAAATGCCAAGGATCCATGACACCACCCACCAAGAAACTCTTGCCAAAAGGAAGATCCAGTTTTGTCTAAAGCTCTCTGGCCAACCCATTTGTTACATTCTCAGCATAGGTTTCAAGGTAGGGCCAAAATTCAAAGCGCGATATCCATTTCCGAATAATCCCATTCTCAGTTTGGACGGGAACTCGAAGAATCTGGCAGCAAACTGTGTGCTCGGTACACATAACCTTCTCAAGGTGATGACCACAATTAGTTCCAATTGCAACTGGCAGTAATTTTTTTTCAATGATATCAAGTTCCTGATGCTTTATTCGAAGAAGTAATTCGTTCTCCAATGCTCAAAATCGATCCAAGAAACAGGCAATTGGGCCACCAGTGTCAGGATAACCCAAAACATTAGCGACGTGGCCATGAGGGAATAGGATAACAATACTGAACTTCCTGTAGTCATTACATCGAGCAATTTGCGAGCATGGCGTGGGATCAACATTTTCAGCAGAATTTAAACATGGGATTTCCACAATTGTTACCTCTATGTCGGCCAACGCCGTCGGGTTCGCCGGAACTGTGTCATTGCCGCCGACGATGGAGGCTTGGTCGCCCTTTTGTGCGTAAGAGGGCGGCATGAGAGAGCGAAGCAGAGCAAGGTACTCGTTCAATTTCTTCCACCGGCTGCGTTCAACGGTGCGATAACTTCGTAGCACCGGTCCTGCTTTACAGACTAGTTGTAAATGTACTTCGCAGTACCGAATGCCGACAGAGTTCAACGGTGCGATCCAAGTGTGAGTTCTCTGGCTAGTCACTTCGCAGCACCGATCCACGTTTGAGTTCAACGATGCGATCACTTCGACAGAGTCGGTCTGGTCAGGCGGAAGTGGAGGAGGTTTGGGAACATGGATCCAAATGTCGACAGAGTTCTCCGGCTCCTTACCAGCGTCTCGCTGGGGGTTTTCCGGCTGGGGCTCTGATTGCAGAATGTCGACAGAGTCGGAAGTTCGCCGGCTAGGATTCTGGTTGCAGGAAGAGCGAGTCTCGATGTGTTAGAATGCCTGGTCGTCTCAGACGATTTTTGCGTGAGGTTTGAACACGGGACGGGATCGATCAAAGACAAAATAGATCGTGTGGCTCGGTGTATAGGTGAATTGGGCTGAGCGGTGGATGCGAGAGCAGGTGATGGGATCTGGAGTGTGGCCTGGACAGACGCGTGAGATGATTTAGGGTCGAGGCTGAAGTCACGCTCGCGTCGCGTCGGTGAATCTGCGACTGGGGTTGCGGGAGCCTGGTCGCCGGTTGGGGTTGCGGGAGCCTGGTCGGTTGCTGTTGGCATCTCTAGATCGGCGGCTATTGGGGCAGCTAGAGTCTAGTCGGCGGGGGCTTGGTCGGCTGCTGCCGGCATCACCAGATCGGCGGCTGTTCGTCGGATTTGGACTTGGTCAGAGACTGGATTGTCTTCCTGCTGGTTTTGGGCATATCCCACTCCCATAGATGTTTCTATTTGATCGGGATCGATCTGGATCGGATCAAGATTGAAGTTCCGTTTGCTAGGCGACGTAATCTGTGGAGGCGGAGGATTTCTCCATCGCAATAGAAGCTCGAGCAGTGGGTATTCCGGCGGTGGATCACGCCATTTGAGTGGAAGCTCGAGCGAGGGGTAGTCATCAATGACGGTGGAAGAATGGCGGGGTTGATAGCGTTTGCGAGGAGCGGACAAGGATAGCGAAGAAGAAGAATGTCTCGGTATGGTTGCGGACGACATCCTCATCCTCCTTATTGATCGAAGGGTTTCGCGAATCCGATCAAGGTTTCTATCTACCTGATCGAGCGACTTCTTCGATTGAGCTTGATAGAAGTCGATTCGGCTTCGAGCATCGTCGACAGCCCACCTTCCTTGGCGTCGATCGTCGTCGACCGCCAATCTTGTTTTGCGGCTTCGATTGTCGTCGAAAATAGCTATGTAAATATGATCATTAGCATTCAGTGTAGCAGAGGTGAAGAAGTTGTAGTCAAGATCAGTCTGCATGCTCAAGTTTCCCTCTAAAACCTTAACCACTGTTGACATAGATGGTCTTTTACAGCTGTTAGTCTGCAAACACCACATTGCAAGCCTCATCATCTCAACAGCTTTTTCTCCATGCAACTGTATATTAATTTCGTTTCTATCAACCATGTCTAAGAGCCGATCAATCTTCACTTTCTCCTGCAAAAGAGAAATCAAGCGTGCGCCATCTTCAGGCTGAGAATGATCGAAATTCTTCCTTCCACACAAAATTTCCATGACCACAATTCCGAAGCTGAACACATCAACTTTTTCGGTGATTGCAGATGTCAACCATTCAGGAGCTAAATACCCATACGTTCCTCTCATTCTTGTATTTAATTCACGTTGATCACGATCAATCAGCTTTGCAAGGCCAAAGTCCGCAACCTTTGCGTTGAAATTTTTATCGAGAAGGATGTTCTGAGGCTTGATGTCTAAATGAGCAATTCTGTGCATGCACTCTTCGTGGAGATATGAGAGGCCCTTTGCTATGTCAATGATGATCTTCACTTTTGTTTGCCAATCAAGAACTGTGTCAGGAGTTCTGCCAAAGATCCATTTGTCTAAAGACCCATTTTCCATGAACTCGAAAACAATAAGTCTATGTGATTTTTCTGCACAAAATCCAATTAGCCTCACAACATTGATGTGATGAAGGCTGCCGATTGTTTCCGCTTCTGCCAAGAATTCTGTCCTCCCCTGTCCAATAATTCTATCTCCTTCCAGCCTCTTTACAGCAACCTTAGTATCGTCGGCAAGCTTCCCCTCGAACACAGACCCAAATGCTCCACGTCCAAGCATATGGCAAAAGTTTTCAGTAGCAATTTTCAATTCCTCGAAAGAAAATCTATTGGAAAAACTAGGTAAGTTTAAAATGTCATCTTGCTCTTCACTCCTTTTTTTCTTTTTACAGGCTTTGCGGCAAAAACAAAAACAAGAAATAAAGAAAACATAAAACAAAATATAGAAAAACAAAAACAAAAGGGACGACGGTCTTAAATGAGAAATCCCAATGATGATGGCGATGAGCATGGCGAGGGAGATGATTGCGACGATGAAGAGGAAGAGGAGGAATAAGAGGAAGCGCTTTGCCGTCATCTCTAAATCCTCAGAAATTCTGTTGCGGAGAATGTTAGGCTATGTTTCCTTACCCAGTAATGGAAGAACTTATATGTGCAAGGAAATAAACAAGAGAAAAGTTCTAAGTCTTTTGTTTTTTTGGGAAAAGTAAGGCTGACGCCAACAAACTAAGTTGAAAAAAAATTTAGTTCACATGCATGGCTCTCTGGTTTTGATCATCCTCTCTCATCGTGTAGGTTTATTTTGCTCAAACCGTGTAAATCGTGGTGTCCTTTTGCAGTTATGTATCTGTTTGTCGTTCCTTTGCATGTTCATTGTGAACAGGGGTGTCAATTTCGGATCACGGGTCGGGTTGGGGTTGAATTCGGAACTGACTCTGGTTCAAATGGGTCGACCCTAACCCGACCCGGGTAGACAAATGGGTCGGAAATCCGAATCCGGACCCGACCCGGCGGGTTGCCGGGTTGACCC